GAGAGAGAGAGAGAGAGAGAGAGAGACTGTAGCTACACACATTCATGAGGACTAATTTAAGTATGGGGTGAGGAAATTGGTTAACTGGTACTAGTTTGTGTGTGTGTGTGTGTGTGAGAGAGAGAGAGAGAGTACACAATCAACAAATGAGTGATGAATGAAGGAAAGGAGGAAAAAATGAACTGAAAGAAGAAAAAAGGGTGAAATGAGAGAAAGAGCGAGGAAGATGAATACAAACAGGAAGGCGAAAAGAAATATTTAATATATGTGGAGGCATGAGAGAAAAAAGATGGGTAGAATAAGAATATAAGATAATGAATATTGGAAAAGAGAGAGACCGTGTGTGAGCGTGTGTGTGTGTGTGTGTGTGTGTAACGAAAGGGAGGGAGAAAGGAGGGGCTCTCATCTTCTTTTGGTGCAGAGGTTCACCACAGCTGAGAGGCTGCAGCTTGCAAAGGAGGAGGTGAATAACGGAGACACCACTTCAGTCTGGATGAGCTGCGTCGTTTTTCAGATGTTCCCTTTGCATTATAGCACCAGAGCAGAAACACACACAAACACACACACACACATACACAGAGGCAATCAGCCAACCCATGCATGCTGTCTGGCCACGGGCAGCCCCCAGGGAAACAGATGCACAGCTGTCAGCACCAAATGCAGCTGCAATGGCGCATGGCAACTGCAACAACCGACCGGCGTGGAGGACGTGGAGGCGGTAGGCGGACAAACAGCCGACTGTCTCACAGCTGAGGTCGACCTGTGGCACCTGGCGCCGAGCAGCAGCTAGAGCCAGTGCATGCTGTTCACCAGTGGAAAAGGTCTAAAGAAAATCGATAGCTGGAGAGCAAGAGGATGTGGTGAGCAGTAAATTAGAGCACATGACAGAAGAAGAGGAAAAGTCAGTAAGCTGTAGCCCACTGTGAGAATAAGCCAGTGGGTGGAGGAGAGTGATGGACTGAGGACACAAACCGAGGTCAGGACCTGGTCACTGAAGTGGAGCATTTAGTCTTGTCCTTGGCTGCAGGAGTTGAAGTTACACCTATGGCTTTCTGGTTAGGTAAGAGCCTTGTGAATGTACAGATAAATATAGTTTAGTTGCACCTGCACGGCTCAGCCCACATGCCACACATTGCCTGAGAGAGACTGCACATAAAAGAAGCTTTCATAACTAATCTGAGATGTCCTCTAGAACATCTCAATATGAAAGCAGCACACGTACTGAAAAACTGGAAGCTCCGTCTCGTCCTTCATCTTTCATTTATGAGATCCCTGCTTTCAAACCCTCACCACATGTCCCGTATAAGCAAAAGCCACAAACAAGAGCTAACAAAATATAATGAAAAACATACATGCAACCACAGTTTTCAGTGTTAAATCACCATGATAACAAATGTCAACATTAGAGGAAGAGAAATGAATCAATGAGTGAATCCAGAGGACGACTATTGAGCAAATAAGTAGTTTAACAATATAGGAGAGAAGGGGGTTGTATCCTAGATTTAAAAAATGCATCCTCAATAAACAAAGATTAGACTCTATTATTGTAAATTATAAAGCAGTGATAATACGTTTGTTCTATCTGCAGAAACAAATCAAAATAATGTATTTAAAGAAGAATTCTGAGCATACTGAGTTGTGCGGCGCCCCCTGCAGGCACATGGTAATCTAACACCAGATGTTGGAGAAGAGAGAGCACTTCACATTTACAGCAAATACCCAGAGAGAGATTTTGTGCGTGTGATTATCTGTCTGACCACGAATGCCAGTTAGAGTATAACCAGCCTCACACAATAGAAACCCAGCAGAGTTCATAATGGTGAGGCAACAGTGAACAATGAGAAAATCTATGAATTTGTTTATCCATTAAAAGAATCCTGAAATTCACAAGTTTTGCCCAAATAACATTTAAGTAAAAAAGATACTTTGGCTCATCTTGTTGTAGAAATCATTTTAACAGTAAACATATTGTTGCAAAGTGCTGAGAATTTTTATCCAAGGTCTCTGGGGTTCTTTGTGTGTATCTAATTAATCAAACGTGTTATGTGTGCTTCCAGTATGACGCTGGTGTGTTTTGCTCTGTTAAAGGCATTTGACATTTTAAAAATTAGTCCTGTGTCCATCAGTGCTCTGTGCTCTGTGGAGGATGCCATGTACAGCTCGGGATCAGGATTAAGTGGCTCCTGAAGTCTGACTCACACGGATATTAGTTAAAACTCACCTGTTATTAAAGGAGAAGAGTAAAACTTTTAGAAATAATCTGATGGAGCTGTGTTTGGTTTGGGCCCATCAGCTCCGCCAGCGGGGCGCGTCTGATGCTGTTTTCAGCACCACGGACAGCGCTTCAAGTTTGAACTGCGATGAAACTCGTTTTACTCAAAATCGAACAAAAGGAAACGAAATAAAACAGAACACCAACTTCATCCATTAAATAAAAGAACAGGGAAGTTCCTTGAGACACTGATCACAGCTGTTGACCTCAGTGTAACTTCACTATATCCCTGATTCCCTCAAAATAAACTACCTGTTTCCATAAAGCTCACACAGTGCCGACTTCTGCTGATGTCTATACGCTTCTTTAAAATGAATGATAACAGCATTACCGCACAGGACGAGTCACATCTCGTTTCCTCGGGCCCCTACCTGAGGTGGATCGGAGGAGAGGGAAACTCATGCTGCGCCCGTGGAGCTCCGGAGCCGTGTGCTCATGGCTCTTTCCCACTTCCTCATGCGCGCTGCCCCGACGAAAAGAGGAGGAATTACCGAAGTTCAAACCGGCCAATTCTCCACGGCATTGGATCCATTAGGGCGCACATGGCGTTGACGGGAGATCATTACAGAACATTAGAGGCCATTAAGCCGTTGGAACCGGTCATTAATGATTCATCTCGAGGCCCCGCTGATCTGGCACAATAAGAGCAAGAGGGAGCCAGCAGGCCGTTCCAAAACCCAGAGATATGTGGAGGAAGTAGTGTGTGTTTGTGTGTGTGTGTGTGTGTGTGTGTGTGTGTGTGTGTGTGTGTGTGTCTGTGTGTGTGTCTGTGTGTGTGTGAGAGAGAGAGTGTGTGTGTGAGAGAGAGAGAGTTTAGAGTGAAACAGATCTGTAATTGTGACACTACAGGAAGACACAATCACTCTATACAAATCCATACTTGTATGAGCTTTATCGTCTCCTCTGCAACCCCAGAGACACAATCTATATTAAATATTAACTTTGTAAATATATCTTTGTACTCTTTTGACTGATGTTGTTTTGAGAACTATGTAATAAGAATTCTTTGTCATTATCAGATAAACTAAAATCTGAGCATTTGTGGGAAAAAATTAGGGAAAAAGTGAAAAAAAAATAATAAAATAATAAATAATAAAAGTCCAAGATGTTTTCCTCTTCCGGCATGACTAAAACATTAACTTCAGCCAACTTCAATTCTACACACAAAGAAATACAAATATAAAAGAACGTAATGTGACCTTTTTATGTAAAGTTGCATTTTGTGGATGTGATTCACTGCACTCACTGCCTCAGGCACAGAAACAGAAAAAAAAACTCAGTAAACACAGGAATATATATAAATATGAAGAACATGTAAGTCCCCAGTAACACTGACTTACAGAGATCAAGTTATAAAACAACCTCAAGAATAAACAATTTTAGTGTTTATCCCAACTTACAATACAGCAATCAATAATGAAGGTCATCACAAACCAAAAGCAAAGCAAGTTTTTGGAAAAATCCTTGTTTGCTGTTACTTTTTCCCACTGTTCCAATTAAAAACATAATTAAAAATTCATTCTGTGCAGCCAAGCATTGTTCAACCCCACAAAACTCTGAAAAACAAGTATCAAGTGGTCGAGAAACAAAACAAGAAACAAGCATCACATGTTGAAAACCAAATGTCCTTGATGCAAAATGTCGATAGAGAAAAACAAAAAATAGATGGTTTGTACACTCAGGGTGATGCTGCCTGTCCACAACCCAACACAAGACTCTGCACAGCCATAATTAACCTTATATTATCAGCCCATTACATTGTTGCCTGTACTTCCTGTGAAGCAGCCTGTTAAATCACAAATACAGATGCAGCAGAGGAGCCTATAAAAGCAGAGGAAGGATGCAGCTTGAGAACGTACACACTCAGCAACTTGATTGTAAAGGAAGAAATGACAAGGTTAACAGAGAAACGCATGTTTTAAATGAATCTGCTTCTTCTTTTGATTCCCAGATTTCTGACAGACAACAGAAACATGTCATTGGTTGTTGTTGCTCATGCATCTAATTGTATTATTGTGCTTCCTAGGATCAGGAAACAACTCTATTAGATCAAGCTGATGGAGTGGTCACTGTGTGTGACTTTCTTTCTTTCCCTCTATCCTTTCTTTTGACCTTCCTTCCTTCCTCTTTCCCTCCATTTGTCGAAACAGATCTGAAACACAATTTTAGCTTTGAACAAACACCTTGTCTATCTACCAAAATACTCTTGTATCCTTGGCTTGAAATAGCAAAGCAGAAAGATGGCGACAGGTACGTTCTGGCAGAGGTTCCCATGGACAGCAGCCTGGGCAGGTCGCCAGGTTTC